CTCCTGTTCTCATTTGGGATCATCTTTAGAGACATATTTTGTACTACTGTTCACAAATCTCTCCAAAATATTTGGGTGATCAGTAACATTTGAGTTGAGGTGCCTGTCTGGGTACTTGATTCTCAATACAGGAAATTAGAGATGGCCTCATAATTTAGATCTGTTCCAACTGAAACAATTTTATGCCACAGGTAAATTTTGTCAATTCATTCATCTGTTTTCTAGATCATTAATAAATATTCATCTGCAACAATGAACCTCTTTAGCACCTCACCCTTAATCATACCTACGTTGAAATTTGCCATTTAATCTTTATTTAATCCATGAAAAGGACTCTATCAGTCACTCTGATTGCTTAATTTCCTTGATAGCCTTCCATCAGAGCTTTTACATATTAATCAGTGTCGGATCACAGTGTGTGGCTGGAGAGGAGTGAAACTCCAAGAAGTTTGATGGAGCAAGGAGTAAGGCCAATTAAATAATTTAGGCACCAATTATTTATTTTGGAAAGCTGGCTTCAAAATTCTTAAAACTGAGTTAAACAATAGAGGCAACCTTGGATTTGAAAGAAGAAGATACATAAAAGCTGTTTTGAGTCTGAATGCCACAGAAACTAACCCAGAAAAAAAAAAGAAAAAAAGGTTTAATAATATTACCAGTTTCATGAAGAAAAAACCCATTTTGAGCAGGATGCAAGGTAGTGAGCCTCAGTCTGTCTTTCACCAGAACAAGTGGATGAGAATGTTTCTGACTAAGAGCAAAGTAATTGACTTCAGCGTTGCATTCCAGGTTCCAACCTGTCAGGCTTTGAATCAGGATTTACAGTCAGGGATCCTCCTCCTTGTGATGAATGGTCAAAGGGAGAAGACAAATACAGCCTAAGCTCAGTCTGGAACTCTTCAATGACAGGTCTATGTCAGGGTTATGGAATAACTTCTTGGTGCCAGTGGGCACTGCTGCTTCTTAGGAAAGAGTCATGAAATCTTCTAGGCTAAGGTACACTTCCATGAACAAAACAGATAAAATGAGACAACTGTCCATGGGCTCTGGGAGAATGTGAGTAAAATCAGGTCTGTGCAGGACTGTGGGATAATTCTGATTAGAGGAGCAGAGAATATTTTGCTAGAGAATATTTTGTGCAGTGGTCTTTTGTTTATGAGGAAAACTGATGTCAGCTCTATTTGGCATATAACAGCAGTGCATCATCACCTTCTGTGCTCTCCTTGTTGTAAGTAATAAGACAGTGTACAAAGATATGAAATGGCTGACTGAAATTAAATGTGAGCTGTCAAACTGATGAGATTGGTTCTGTCAGAAGATGAAACTCTTCGTTTGGTATGGTGGTTTTTGTTGGTTTTTTTGGTCTAAATGGCTGTTCAAAATCTCAGCATGGTATCACACAGTGCATGCATAGAACAAAATGACTGTACTAGCTGTACACTCCACCTTCACCCCAAAAGCCTGGAAGAACTGTCTGCACTCCCCCTAAATATATGGCCTCTTTATAAGTTCCATTAAAGACACCTAGATCATGCCCTGGTTTGTAGAGCTTCCTTTTTTTTTTAAATGGTGAATACAACATAATCTTGACATACATCTTCGGCTCTTGTGTCTGAAAATATTGCTGCAGGTGTCAGTCACAAAGTACCACAAAGACTTGAAGTGTTCCCTGTCACATGCTTTTGGAATTACTTTTTGATGCAATAAGTATTATCTGTACTGAATTTATTGCATATAAGGTAAATGCAATAAAGACCACATAAAACTCTTTGTGGTATGTCAAGAAACCCCCTTTTCCATACTTTCTTTAATGCCTGTGTGAACAACAGTGCCTAAACTGACACTGAGAGAAGGGGCTTGACATGACTTTGCTAGGTTTATATTCTGAAAAGCAGGTCAATATATGTATAACAAACTGAACTGGTAGCCTGGAGTGAAAATGTTAAAGCATAAATAAATAAATAAGGGAATTGACTGTTAGAGTAATCAAAAAATATAATGTTCTAATTCTTGCTTTGCATAACTAATAGGCAATTAACTTTCATTGACTCATGATGTGAAAAGCAAATGAGAAACACAGATAGTTTGCTTTGGTAACAGTCTGTCAGTTGGGAAGAATGTTTTTCTTGACAGTTGATTAAGGGTTAAATGAGCTGAATAAAATTGGTAATTTTTGCTGCTTTCCCCACTTAGTATAACAGCTATTACATGAAGCATTTTTCCTTACATTAGTTGTAATGACTGACTTTAACTGATTATCCTGTTGAAAGAACTGGTTTTGATTGACAAAGATGTCTTTTTGGTATTCTCAAGGTCTGCAAAAATGACTAGTGCATATAGAACCTGCATCAAAGTATTTTTATTTATTGTCTTTGAGACTTTTGGTTCTTCGCAAGCAAACTGTGCTTCTTAGGGAAGCATGTGCTTGGTTTGATCATGCAACAGCTTACATGGTGAAGAAGGGAGAAGCAGCATCTCATACAACCATAATGGTTGTGGTATGTGCCTGTACTATGGCGACTTACTTTGCACCACAGGAGTGTTACCTCAGCTTCTGAAGAGCAAGAGGGCATCACCTTGCAACAGTTTTGTAAAGCCAAAAACACCAGTCGTTCACCAGGCCCACTGTGGGCAGAGACACCTTCCGCTAGACCAGGTTGCCCTGGGCCCCATCCAACCTGTTCCTGTGCCTCACCACCCTCACATCAAAGAGTTTATTCCTAATATCTAATCTAAACCTGCCTTCCTTCAGTTTAAATACATTCCCTGCCTTGTCCTAGCACTACATGCCTTTGTACAAAGTCCCTCTCCATTCACTTCCTCCCACACCACCTCTATGCTGTCCCTCCCCCTCTAGTTTAAGCTCCTATTTAATGATCTCAATCTACAGGAGGCTTGATTTTATGGTCATTTTAAAAGTAGCTCATGGATGCAGGTTAAAATATACTACCTCTCTCCAAATGAAAACTTCAACCACAGCTCTAACACAATTGTCTGAAAGAATACTGATGCGTACATTACTTGGGAGTTTTTGTTGTGGTACAGAAGCTAGTCCATGCTTTGATAGAGAATGATGGTTTTGGAGGCACATAAGCAGGCTCTTGGGAAAACAAGAATAGTTCTTCATCTGCAACAGAGGTGGAGAATTCATCTGCTGGAGCACTGCTGGCTTTGACTGTCTCGCTGATGAAAGCAGCTTTTCACAGCCCCTCAAAAAGTGCTATGCTATTTCACTTGTGATACTTCAAAGCCCATGATTGTGTGAAAGTCCTGGAGTGAAATGTCTTTTCAAAATTTCAGATCAAAAGAGAAATGCTAGAACATCAACAGGAAATAAAACATTTTTATTGAATATCTGTGTAATATGTATGTTATTTTTAACGACAATTGGAAAACTCTACTGTGGGAAGTCACTACACAAAGTGAAACAAAATATAAACCACCTCATCAAAAATGAAGGTAAAATACGGCTAAAGTTGTCAGCTCGCGGGCCACGAGCGATATGGCAGGATAAAACACCCCAAACATTTCTACAAGATACAGAGAAAAACCCACACAGAGAAACACTCAAGCAGGCAGTAAATATACACAAAGGCAACTAGGATCTTTCTACAGCATCAGATTCTAATACTTCACACAGCTTTGTCAGAAAGGTACATGTGGCTTCTTTGAGGATGAAAATGTCACCTTGGTCACATGGCAGGTTCAGTCTCTGAGAATCATAGTACCTTACAAACCAGTTCTAGGGTGACATTCAGTCTGGCAGTGTAGGAAGAGAAAGCATTAAGAATACCTTAACACAATGAGTCAGTCCTGGCCCTTTGAACCTGCAGCTATCCTGAATGAACTGAAAGCTGGAGACCATGAAGCTCTTATGCTGGAAAGCTGACTGTCAACTTCTTCTCTTTGGTGGGGTTTGGTCCTTTAGGATAAGATTTTAAAGTATTCCAGCTTGATGCTTTGCATGTATGTGCCTGTTTCTATCAGATAATGTCTCACTTGTGTTTTTTCTGTGTTTCATGTAAAAAAGAAAGCAAATGGGTCTTGCTATTCTCACTTTTGGAGGTGGGGAGAGATCCAGGTTTTTATTATCATCCCACTTCTTTGCTGCTGCTGCTTTTACCTGCAACGTACTGAAAAACAGTGGTGCTTGGCCATCATTGCAGTGATCTCTCAGACTGCCACACCTCTCCCGGAAGCAGAGCCTTGAGGGAGGCTGTGGAATTTAGTTTTCAGTACACAGTTCTCTAATTACATTAGTCTTTGTTGTTTCAGTAGTTTCTGTTAGATACAGAAGATTGATAAGAATGTTAACAGTTGCTTCTCATGCCTCCCTCCAAAAGCAATAAGCATTTCCACATTTCTGGGGTCATTTGCATTGCTGAAATAATGAACTCTTCAAAGCATTATAAATATATTCACAGCTTGGAAAGATAAGCGAGGGGCCTCAAAGGAGGGTACATGAGATAGAAGTGATGCCCTAAATGACTTGATGAGATGGTATGAGCGGAGATGACATGCTGGGTAGCTGTAAGATGACTATCTACAGTAAAGCAGCAGGGGGTGAGGGTGGGTGGAAATGTAGAGTATTGCACAGGGCTTGACAAAATGCTGCGTGGTCAACCCATTCAATATAGCATCCTTGTCCCCCACATAGCTCTCCAGTTCTAAATTGGTCCATAATAACTAGAACTGCTTGTGCTATGCGTTCCTTCGGCAGTGCAGTAGAAGGGAATGGCAGTATTATTACAATATCACTACGGAATAAATTGATTGCTATCCACTGAGAAAACTACATTTCTAAGCACACACGGCAGTCACAGTGATACACAGAGCAGTCTTTCAAGACTCTTATGGAATGACTAATAGCTTCATAATAGTGCCATTTACTACATAGTAACATTTAAAACATTTAAAAACTCCTCCTGAAACGAGCATCTAGTATACAGAAGAGGTTGCTTCAGTTTTCTAGAACTTGTTCTTTGTTTTCACTTTTTTTTAAAGGACAAATTAAAACTTAAGTATAAATAGTATATAAAAGGTCACTAGCTGTTCTCTTTTGGCTTACTTTGAAGTGCATTTAGAACTATGGCTAAATTTTGTCATCTTCTGATGGGATTACAATACTGTCTGTTTACCATGAAACTATTTTGTATAATAAACTCACACGGCTGTGTCTAAAAAATATTCTGCATTCCTTCTAATCTGAGTTAGTATAATAAAATATTTTGTTACAAAGTCTAATGTGCAAACTCATTATAATGTGAAATCGTGGATGGAATTCACAGTATGCAAATTTTGTATAAAGGTGATAATGGAGAGCTACTCTTGTTTTCCTGGCAGCGTTTCACTACCGCTGGGTCTTCCTCCTCCCCCTCCCTGCACAACTTCTGCCATGGTCTTTCTTTGTATGTTAGATGAAATCGTTGCCTCCTATGGAACTGTCTGCTCAACATTCAGTCTAAAGCCATTTCAGTCTCTTATATGTTTGCTTTGGAATATATACAAAGAAATGATATCCTGGCTTCTGGATACATCTTCTTGAGGTCAGCCATGGAACTGCTCAGATCATGCTAAGTTGCCTGTGAAAGAAGTCTACCCAATTGGATTTGCCCCTCCAAGATTCTCTATGGATGTGGTGTGTTATTAGGATGGTCCAGTTGAAAGCTCAGATTTAAGTTGTCCTTTAAGATGTCAGTGTAACACTACTAGTGCCTTACAAGTTGGATTTTTTTTTTTCTGGAATGCAGACGATACAATAATTACCCTATAATATATTATCAGCTCTCCTATATCTCAGTCAATTTACATAATTTAAAATAGAACATCTTATTAAAAACATCTAGATATACACAGATTAGGAAACGCTTACAACATACAAATACACAAACTAGAAATAAATTCTCAGCATACTGGTGTATATATACAACTGTGTGATACAATAAATAATTTCTGTCATGCTCTATCTACACATCATATTGCTTAAAAGAAGAGTAGATTTGGGGGGGGCAGTGGTGAAATGAACTGCCTTTAAAGGGCTCTCTACATTTAAATTTGTGCAAATTAAAATGGGACTTTAAAAGTACAACTGACCTGTGTCAGGAACACATGGCTGGAAATGAAAGGACCCATATCACTGAGGTATTTACAGATACTGGCTAAAGAGCACTATGTGGGCAAATGCAGAAAGGCTTCTTCTTCTTTTTCATCTTCATAATTTAATTTAATTTAATTTTCTTTACTTCTTGACTGCCAGCATGGCATCTACCTCCTCCTCGGGCTGTAGGGTGTGCCACTGTGCGATGGGCCGCCGGGGGTTGGCCAGCATGTCTGACCAATGCCGCAGCTCCGCTCCAGTGCTGTTGTAGCCCACAAAGACTTTCCCGATGGCATCGTTCTTGCCAATCTTGTCATAGTCCAAAACAGTCACAACAATTTGCACTTTCTATATGAGACAGAGAAAAAGAAGTGAGCATGACCGTAAGGGGAAGGTGGGCAGGGATGAATCTGCCACAATGAGAACCACAATGGAGATGCCATGAAGGGAGGGGAAGGTGGGCAGGGATGAATCTGGGGACAGAGAACCACAATGGAGATGCCATGAAGGCAGTAAGTGTGTGACAGCCGGCACAGATTCCCCCAGCAAGAAGCAAATTCAAACTTTTGTCTTTGCTTCTTGTGGGCCTTCTAAATAAAATGAAGTTCACAATCTCCCTGTCAACTTGAAATTTGCTCCCTTGCATCAAAGAGCTTCAATATAGAAATTGAGGTTGACTGTTTTCCCTTTCACAGATTAACAGTTTACAGGTGAGCTAATTCAAAAACCGTGCAATTTAACACATCATTATTGTTTAAGTAAATAAATTACAGCTTCCATTCAGAAAGAGCTCTACCCCAAATTAATGTTTGCAATGTTGTACTCTATTCTGTTAGTTGCCCATCTCTTAATCTTACCCATTCATCCAGCATGCTAGTGAGGTACTTACAGACAAATTCAGAAGATAGCCCTTATGTTTAGTTTATACACACACACAGACACACATGCTCAACTCTATGCACGTGTGTGTGTGCATGTACACACATGTATGTGTGCATACTGTCTATATTCTATATATTTATAAAGAAGTCTAGAAAACAGGTGGCATGCTCAGAATTGGAATAGATGTATAAATCCCACTGTCTCAGGGCTCTGACACACCAGCACTGCCTATGACTGAGCTGATGTTGGAGTGCCATTTCTGTTGGAATGGTGACCTCTGGCAAACAGAGTTGAACTAGTCCCATAAAGTGGGAGCCCATCTGTCACAGCTCAGACAATTCTCCATTCACTTAGACTGAGGTACAGCTAGGAGATGTTCAAGCCAGGCATTTGTGTATGCATTTGTGTGCACATGCACACATTCCTCTCCTTCAGGTCTTCACTGAAGGAATAGCTGTTTGTGCTCTTTTGACAAATACTGGAGTGGAGTTCTTCCCCAACACCACAGCACCTCACAGCCTTGGGCTGGTTTTACTAAATAGAGCTTTGTTTTTAAAGATGAACATAGCTTTCTTTTTCCTGATTCTTTTCTATCCCATGACAAATACACACAGCTCCTTATTACAGTTCAAGCTTCCTAAATTGGAGGAAGAAATGCCCTGAAACACATTTCTTCCAGAAAATCTTTTATTCTCAAGAATCAGCTTTTTAGATTTCATGCTTTAAATATATCTACCATCTGGACTTCTTACTAGAATGATTAATTTCAGTACTTGTAACGGGATTATCTTTTAAAAGTATCAAGCCCAGGCTCATGAGGTCTGTTTCATAAAGTCCATTCCCTTACAGGATTGTACAATTCACTGAGCCAGAGAAAAAGATGATTCCAACAGGCACTAAAGTATTTATATAGCTGCTGATGACAAAAGTGTACATCAAAACTCAAGACTCTCCCTCCCCAAAGCACTCACAATAAAATGCAATATCCTGAAGCAACTATGTCTAGGTACCAAAATTATGTTTCAGTGTTGCTGTTCGCAATACACTCACTTTTAATACTGATGATACCTCCCCAAATGAACACTTATGTTTTAGATGCATGGTACAATCACAGATCTAAGAAGCAAGAATGAGACTACCTTTTATGGTACAAAAACATGCTTGTCTGCTATACCTAGAAGCTCGGGGACTAATTACTATTGGATTTTTTAAAAAATGTTAATAATTAAGACAAAAATTATCACTGTAGATGAAGGACACCTTTCCTTATTCTAAATGGATGTAAGAACAGTTAGCTCAGATGATTAACTTAGAGATGATTCTCACCTCATGGTCTCTGGCCTAAACCTACTGAGAAATGTAAGCAGCTCTTTGCTTTTCTACTGCATATTCAAGGAGCAGCTGCACTGCAAAACCCAAGAGGTGCTAGTAGAAAGCACTGCCTCTGCTAATAAACACTTGGATTAGTAGTTTCCCCTGGTGTGCTGGAGCCCTTTGGACTGAAAGGGCCTGGAGACGTTGCTGCCCACAGAAGCAGTCTGTCTTGCATGTGGGCAAAACATGCCTGACCTGCCTGCAGCAACAGGATTTGACTTCCCAGTGATGTTCTGCCATTACCCTTAAAGACATCACTTTTTCCCCCTTAAGAGCCAGAATACATAGTCACTACTGAATTGCTGAAAATGTTCATGTTTGACTCATTTAAAATTACATAGATGTACAGCTACTGAGGTGCTTTCCCTTCATGACCTCTCTTCTCTTTGTTCTCCAACAATCAAGAAACTGTATAACCATTTTTTATTTGATTGTGAAAGTTTGCTTAATGACTTTTACATGAATTACCCAAGTCAGTGATTCTTACCATATTAAGTCTAAATAACATTTAAAATGTGTTTTTCTAATGATGAAATCACTTCAGTATTCATAATGAAATAAAAATCTAAATATAATATTTTATACCCAACTCCAAAACACATTGGCATATGACCTAAGTCCATAATTGCAAATTTAAAACTAGGGCTATATACTGGAGTAGATAGCTGTAAAGACATTCTAATAAATTTCTAGAAAAAAAAAAAAAAAGAGGCAAAAATTTAAATATCTAGATAAAAATACTTTTCAAAGAACCTTGTATCTACCTTACAAAAGTGACTCGGGACTAGAAGCCAAAATGGTCAAGTAACTACAGAAAGCCAAAGCTCTGATCTGACAATTTGGATGTGCTCTTTCCAGCTCCTCAGTCCCACACCTATTTGGAAATTAAGATATTTGTTGCCTAAATTGCCAAAGAGCCTTGATTTGATTAATCTTAGTTTTTGGTTTCTGGGTCTTTGATGCTTGTTATGAGATCTTTCACAAGCACACAGACCAATTTTCATTAAAATCAAGGGGAATTAGGCCCCACTGGATTTCCCACTTTTTCATTCCTAGTGTTATGAACACATAACATGTACATGCTGTGGGTCATGAAGAAACTAAATGGACTAGTCATGCATCCAAGTCACTGTTCCTACGGCCTCACCTTGTCTAGCTTTACTAGCTTTGTCAGTATCAAGTCAATAAAATGCAAGCACACAGCTTTGGCTGAAATGTAGGCCTAGGCTCCTGGGCTTCTCTCCAGTACAGCTGCTATCAAAATCCAACATATAGAGTGTGAAAACCCATACCATGCTCTCATCTAACCAAGAGGGGTCTCTCAATTTGGTCCAAGCCATTAAACCCATGTAAAGTTTTCAACTACAAGTAGCATGGCACCTAACTCATACCCAGACCTCTCTTACAAGCCACAATAGGATTCTCAGACTATTTTAATTATGGTCTTTCAAACTGAGAGGCCCTTGAAAGGATACTTTTCTCGATCTGCCCAGAAAAGCTGTTGTCTTGCTTAACATCTCCATGGCCCCAGGGCTCCATGGGCAGATGGGAAGCCAGCATGCAGTTCCTTTCTCTTCTGAGAATATTTAAACCACATTTTCCCTGCCAATGAATGCTCTAACAAGTGGGTAGAATAACAAAATAGTTTAACACTAATGGTTAAGGCTTTAAAATAGAATAGTGAAATGGTTTAACACTAATGGTTAAGGCTTTAAAAGAAATGGAGGAGGCTTGTACTGACTGATCTTTTTGAGTTTATATTACCTAGATCAGATCAGAGACCAAAGTCTCTCCCTTTCCAAGTGAACCACTCAGCTAACAGGTGATCTTATGCTCTATGGCAAACCATATACTTATTATTTATATAGAAATGAGTGCTGCACTCTCAACACACAGGCAGAGGGGACAAGAGTATTTGCTTATGACATTGAAGAGACAGGTTGGAATTCACTTAGGGAGGAGAGCGAATGGGATGCAGGTTTCCCACATGGCTCCTGAGACGATTAAGAAGAGATTCTCTCTTGTGATGAGACTAGTTAACATCAAAGAAGTTAAATGTCACTCATGAGAGATGATTTGGCTCCCAGTAGCCCAAAGGTAGGTAACTGAGTCCCTAAACAAAATTACATGATGCCTTGTCCTGGTATTTCCCACTGCTAACATAGGTGACTTCCAGTTCACTGTGCTGACTTCTGAGACCCTTAATTTTAGGAACTGATTTTCTGGGAGTAGCATCTGGACAACTGCTGGAGCTTCCCTGGGGTGCCAAGAGAGCCAGTGCTGCAGTACTGACCCCTGAGATTCAAACATGGCTTTTTCCAGGGACGTAGGAATCACTGAAAAGGTTTTCATAGGGTAGTGAATAACTGAAAAAAAGTTGTGGATGAATTAGGTGTTTTACTCAAGAGGGATGCTGCAGTGCTTTCTAAAAAACCAGGGCCAGAGGGAACACAAATTTGACTGATGATGCCAATTTATTTCAAATAATTTGGGGGTTGCTATATATGCCTTTTCTTTTATCCCTATACATTTTTGCTGGCACACTCCTTCACTATCTCCCTGTGGATTTCTTTTTTTCCAAAATCTATTTCTGTTAACAGAAAATGTCAGTTATCCATTTCTCACTGATGAATCAAAGCTTCGTAAGTACTTCGCATTTTATAATTTCCCTCTTGAAGCAGTCACACTCATCTAATGCAGCACAGGGCTGGCACCTAGGTGCTAATGAAGGCATGCACACGTGATAATTAACAAGATTCCTGTTAAATATTTATAAGGGCTGAGAAATGGAATGCAGAAGGAAGACAAGACACTGTATGACGTTACCTGAATTTGCTCGAATGGTACTTCAAAGCTGAAAGACTCGTTGTAGTAGGGATTCAGAGTGTTCTTTTTAATTGTAGTCTTTTTCTTCTTCAGCCTCTTCCCGTTCTGCATCAGATGGATCTTCACATAGGGATCTAAGTATTCAAGAGAAGAAATAGAGCTAAGAAGGATAGTTCAGTGTGTTTTATTCACACACATTTAAGAGTAGATTAAAAAAAGAAAAAGTAAACCCCTACAGCTTGTATTTAAATAAAGTCTTAATTCCCACCATAGAAAAGCTCTGGAAGTGTTCCTGATGGGAAGAGCTACAAAATATTTATTGCATTATCTCATTAACATCATAAAAGAGGGGTAAACTCTACCTAACTTTGTTCCATAGCTCATTAACCATCCTGGAAATGTTTTTGTTTTAAGGTCATTTATTTATTCCAAACACTTCTGAGCAGTGGGTTGTGGGGTGGTTTTCCCAAGATCAGTGAGTGCTGCCAAACGCACACACAGTGTGCACAGGGCTGGGGTGACTGGATGCCCTGCAACCACCTGGCAACTCCTCCCATGGCTCCCTGCCTGCAGTTTTCCTGTGCTCTGGCCTTCCTGGCCAATGGCACAGCAGGGCCCAAGGGCCTGGCACATGTCGGGCAGGGGCTGCCCTGCAGTTTTCCTGTGCTCTGGCCTTCCTGGCCACTGACACAGCAGGGCCCATGGGTCTGGCACATGGCCAGACTGCACAGCAGGAAGGGACTTTGCCCTTAAATACCAGTCCTCTACCTCAGTGCTGCATACAGTCAGGGTAAGGTGAAGGCCATGGCACTGGTATAAATTATAAATTGGTTTTTCCACTCTTTATTGAATTCTCATTGTTATTTTGAATGACTTCCGGTGGCAAAGTAACAGAACTCATTTGGTACCTAATTAGGTATTCCTTGTGCAAGCAAAACTTTCACGGACATTACAGCCATGAAGACATATCTGGGTGATTATACTTGCGACGGAAATTTTGCCTGCTTAAAAGAATAGCACTGTCAGTCCTTAATCTGTTACAAGCGCCATGTTCCTGTTCAGAGAATGAACCAGCATTCTTCCACACTGGTGTTAACTGGCAGTACCTTCACTGAGTTCTTATTTTTCTGTTTAGGCTTACCACAGAGTAATGGTTGAAGCATCTCAAGCTCATCTTTTTCAAAAGCCTTTATGGCACTGTCACCAGAATTTGGGTAGATACCTCTTTGGCTGAACTGTGATCAAGTCATGCCTTCCCTCCAGTGAACTGGTAGGGGCTATGCAAAGGGCCTGCCAGCCACAAGTCACCTGTGGCATAAAGGAAGATAGCCTGAATGCAAACTGTCAAAGGAGAGGGCTTCTCCCTTCCGTCCTGAGAAAAAACTGAAGCTACAGAATGACAAAGGAACACTGCATTTATTATAGATGAGCCATGCTTTATGACTCTGCAATGAAATTCATACAGTCAAAATATGCCTTACTGTGGAAGACCTAGATGTTCAGGACAGTTAACTTACTGGAGTGCCTTGATCATGGTCTACATTTCCTCTGAAGGGAGTATAATTTTGATAGTGGACTTTTTAAGGCATCAGAAAAATATATACTAAGATCCAATGGCTGTGAGAAGAAACTGGACAAATTCTAACTTAGAAATAGGCATGCATTTTAGTACTAAGACTGAAACTGCAGGAGAAGCTTCTTAGTGTCTGAGGTGAACTCTATCATGGAGGGTTAAGACTCCTTCTCCCTCAACAGACAAGTTCAAACAGAAATTAAATCCGGGTAGGTTTATGCTCGAGGCAAGACAGAGGATTGTAAGGGTTCCTTGTGGCTGCACAATGTATGAATTAACAAGTATCATGTGAAGAGCAAAACGCTAGCAAAAAGCCAACAGAGGTCTAATTCTTTGTTAATATTGTGTTCAACATCACTGCATACTGAAGACGGAAAACAGGCAAATCTGGACTACTTCAGCATGAGCTGGTACTTGAGAACAGCTCATCACTCTTGCTGAGGATCCATGTGGAACGCAAAATTGTTTTCTGAAAACAAAAATGATGGTTTGGGTATAGCTAATATATACTAAGAAAGTTCAGTAGTCAAGAAGCCAGAGTTAGAGTGCTAAGATATGAAAATGAGATAAGATGCTGCTAAAATATAATTTGAGTTACTAGAGTGAGCTGGAAGGCTAAAGAGTATAGTAATACATTACCATTAAGGGGCTTCAAATAGAACAACTATATTAAAATAAATGCAGATGATATAAGCCAATCCTTTACTGACCTGTGCTTGTGCATAGACAATATACAGATTTGATGATTATTCCTATGCCCATAAGGAACAGTACAGTACTGATTCATGCAGTGATTCAGAAATACTCCTATCTTGATAAAAAAAAATTCCATATTTTGGAGAAAAGTATTTTTAACCTAGAATTCATTGTATCTGAATACTTGGGGTCTGCATGTATGTTCACTTTAAATGACTTTCTATCTTCATGCTAGTATTAGAGCAAAAGCTGACTCCGGATACCTCATGTCATAGAATCATAGAATCAACCAGGTTGGAAGATATCTCAAAGATCATCGAGTCCAACCCTACCATGGTTACTAGACCATGGCACTAAGTGCCACATCCAGTCTCATCGTGAAAACCTCCAGGGATGGTGAATCCACCACCTCCCTGGGCAGCACATTCCAATGCCTGAGCACTCTCTCTGTAAAAAATCTCTTCCTAATATCCAACCTAACCCTCCCCTGGCAGAGCTTGAGTCTGTGCCCTCCTGTCCTACTGCTGGTTGCCTGGGAGAAGAGACCAACCCCCACCTGACTCCAACCTCCTGTCAGGGAGTTGTAGAGGGTGATAAGGTCACCCCTGAGCCTCCTCTTCTCCAGGCTAAACAACCCCAGCTCCTCAGCCACTCCCTCATGTCCATGGGACAAGACCAGAAGATAGGTTTGTGTGCTTTCTTTTTTATGTCCTGATCAGTTTCTTCTGTTTCTCAGTCTGGGGATTTGAGTTAAGCTCAGTCCAATGCCAGTTGTTTAATAGGAAAGACCAAGTGGTACCATTGTAGTGCAGAACTATCAGTGGCAGAGGTACCAGAGTACATAAGGGGGTATAACATATGATAAAACATACTATTTTTTTCATCCTAGAGTAAAACTGTCACGACAAACAAAAAAAACTCATGTCAAATACAAATCAAATATCACTTAACTGAAACCATGATACTTATTTTCTAGTTTCAGAGGAAAATATTAAATAAATTCATTACAAACATTTAAAATGAGAACAGTGTGTCCAGCTCAAGTAAGTGGATGGGCCATTAGAGATTTTGGCTGAGTTTATTCTCATTAAATTGTATATCCACTTCCAAATTTTCCAAGTACCCTGGTCTTACCTAATTCTCCCCTCTCCTCATTCTTCTGTCCCCCATATATGAGTCCCTTCACCATGGCTTAATCTTCAGATACACTCTCCCATATCGCACAGCATTACTGCTAACTCCCTCAACTCCCCAGTAATATATTTGCTTGCACTCTGCACAGAAAACCTGACACCTAAGCACAGACTTTCTTGTGACTTCATGAATAAATCTCTGAAAAAGACTCTCTTCCACCAAATAACAGAAGTTGAACTGCTTGGAGTCAATTATTGGTAGAAGGGAAGATAATCAAAAGAAAACAGAAGCTCTAGGAAGTGCTAGTCTCCAGTGATTTTTCTGAGATAAGGTTTAGTGATAATGGAAACATCTCTTTTCTCTACTTGCAACGTAACCTCAGTGCTGGCACCATTACTCACTGTGAGTAATACTTTAATATGTAAATAGTCTCACTGAATAACTGAGACTAGTAAGGATGACAGAACTGATATTACAGCCCCACAATGATAAATTGTCTGTTAAGTACTTAGCCTGGGCATGAAGGGCAGAATTCTTTTGACCAAGTAGAAATGTCTGCATCTGATGCCAATGAAAATAAATAAACATTTCTCTTTACCTACTCCAGATAGTTATCTCATTCCAGAGTAAATATCTATCTTTGGTCAAATACTTTACAACCCAAAATACTCATTTCTCTCTAGGGGTGAACACCACTGTTTTTTCAACCAGCTTTATTCCTTTCAAGTAAACAGGGATTTAGAACCACATTACATCCACAGATACCTGTGGATGGACCCCACCCATCTATCTGGCAAAAAGGTTGTTGCATTCAGATGTCCCTCTGCCAAAGGGGACAAAATGGCTGTGTCCCTTCCTTAATAATTCATGTTAAGCAGTGTGTGGGATTAAATAAAATAAAATTGTGCTATTTATTCCCTCATTAACAGTCTACCCATGAATGCTAAGAAGATGTAAAATTCGTAACTAATTGTGCATTGTAGATTTTACAGTAATGTCACAATGGAGGGTAGCTGAACAGCTTTTAAAGCACTGGGGGACCAGCTGACACATTTTGTTTTCCTGAAATTTGCAGTAAGATGCCAATACATTATTAAAAAGGTAATTGAAATAGTATGTAATACCAAGACTTCTGGAGTCATCTGGACCATGAGGCATATATATACACAACTGGAACCCTCTTATAATAATGACTAGCTATAGACATGTTGTAGACCAGATGCATTTCATTGTTAGAGGTTCTACAAAAGCAAATTTCACAACAGGGGAAAAAACTACAACTCAAAAGAAGAAAATCTTGGCAAATGACAATATATGAGGAAGAAGTGGAACTTGAGAATGACTGCTTCTCAGTGGAGTTTAAGATGAAAAATTTCTTACAGGGTTCAGTAGCTAATGAAATATCATCTCCCAGCTACGTAAGACAGAATTCAGTGCCCAAGTTTCCATTTGTATGGATCTTCAGCAAAAAAGCATCAACAATGTACTCAGCTTGGGATGGTTTTACTACAATGGCTTATTCTGAATGCAAACAGAAGGACAGTGCCCATCCTTGTTAAATAATTTTAAGGCTTCACTAATCTAATCAAATATGAAAAGAAAGCATCTAGAAGTTGATAAATTTGAAAAATGTGACAGGGATAACACTGGAATTGGTTAGGTGTGGAATTATAGTCCTGAGACTGTGTGCAGGGAGAGCTTAATGGTTTAAAGAAAAAAATAAATCTCATGTAGCTCTGTTCAATGGGCTCAGAGAAAACCCTCTGCAAGCCTTGAGTAAGCCTAACATGATTAACAGGAAAAAAAATTGAGCCAGAACAAACCAGTCATAGATACAGCTGAATATTTTCATATTACAAAACACTCTAATAAGATGTTCTCAACTAAAATGTAGAAACAGAATAAATACGTTGCCAGAATTGCCACCAGCTGTATTTTTGTCTTCAGAATGTCTGGGATAACTGGGTGCTCATTAGCACATGGTTTTATTCCCCATCAGAAGAAAATTTATGCCCAACCCATGCCAAAGCACACATCACCGACATTTAGAGCAAAGTGTCAGCAGACAGAAGAGTGTCCATTCCAGGAAGCAGAATGAATTCCTGAAGAGCTTGGAAATTGACTCAAGAAGTACAGAAAATCAGGTTTGGAAATGTAGCTTTATAAATGGCTGTGAAAATGCAGTTAGGACAGAGGTGACTTGCAGGGTGGATCGTTAATTCTATGCTAAAGAGCCACAATCACTCTCACCCTGCAAAAGTGCAGAGAGATGGAAAGCTGAGGAAAGACCAAGTCAGGGCCTTAGACTGGGGCTGGATTCAATATTGCACCCTTAACCTGCTTCTATTCTGTGCAAACATGATTCAGAGGAAGCTTTCTTGGCAGGCAGTGGGGACAACGGCCCTTTAATACAGCAAACAACTTTATTTTCTGTGGAGACTGTGCCTGGGATGAAGGCTGACAGCATCAGCAATACCTGCACGCTTGCTTCTGCCTTTGGAGGGTAACAGCAGCATATGCCTGAGCTGTGCTATGGAAAGCAGCAGGGCTCTAAGAGCAAAGCAAAACAGGAAGAACTTTCCTGGGAGTTTCCACAGATTTGCTGATTTTTCCCAAGGATCATGGCACCAGTTCCCACAGATCTGCTGATTTTTCCCAAGGATCATGGCACATGCTCCCTCTGTGGGCATACAAACCCTTCCTCCCAAGAGGGGCGGATGATTCACACCATGCCTCTTGCATCCAGGCCAGGGATAATTTTCCCTGACTACTTTTTTCTTCTGTTTATTCATGTTTGGATGGGAGGGGATAATTAAAGTCTCCAAAATAATGAGTTTAGAATGATATTGTGGCTGGATTGTCTAAACTAGTTTTTTTTTTAGATGAATGGAAAGCTTCTAACGGGAAGGAAAGCCAGAGGGGGAAAGTATGTTATCTGGGTAAGAAATAATATAAGGTACAATTACTAAGAAGTACAAGTGCTATGGTACATCCTAAACTGCATAAAAGTTAATAGTTTACACTCAATGACACAAGCTGTTGGGCCTTCTCCCTTCCTCCATAAATGAGCAAATTAAAGTTGAGACATTATTTTTAAGGAGCAGCTGATGTCTCAAGAGAAATAGTGGAAAACCCTCGTTAGAAACAATTCTCTTGGCATAAAATGTAGGGTTTGTGAGGGTTTTTTTCCTCAGATTTCCTTAAAACCTGGATTTTTATTAAAAAAAATTGTATTTGCTACATAGTGTTCAAGCCTCAGCCAATGTTGATATTTAGTTACACTCATCATAGTTTTCACCAGGCTGTAGATTACTTGATGTTATGGGCCAAATCTTTAGCTTTAGCCAGTACTTGATCAATACACAAGAGAGAGGTGGGTAGCAAGAGTATTTGCTGTAGGTTCCTGTGCTGCATCTATCTCCTGACCCCAGCAAAATACATTTTAATGTCACTTTTACTAAGGGGGCTGAAGATGGAGTGGTGTGCCTGGAAGATTCTGCCAACACCACCCAGTAACATACTCGCCATGAACAGAGTTGAGAAACTGCAAGCAGCCTAGATGAGCTGCCAGAATGGCCATGATAGCTGTGAACAGTTTAGTTAAAAAGACTCCTATTACACTTGCTAATGTCTGTCTATGCCCCATGGGTGGACTGCTCCAGATGCAATGCACACACACATACGAAGCACAGTCCCATGAGGCCCTTTCCTGCTCGTATTATATGTCATAGTGCAACATGATAATGATTTTGGATTATATATTTCCATCTTTAAAAGAAGATTTTGTAATACTGGGTAATTTGTAAATTAAAACATTTGTAATTCCACATTCAGTAACATTAGACAGATTGCCACGGGAATGATGTCCAGGAATCTGTTTATCGTGGGCAAGAAGGGGTTGGTGTTTATAAAGACTAACAACAGCCTGCCTGTAATGAAAAGAGTTAAATGAAGAGTGTAGCAAAGCAGTCTCAAAATAACAAGTCTTCACTGGTGTGCAGTTAGATGAACATCAAGTTGTTGTTGAAATGCTGAATTCAGAGTACCAGGCAGCTTTGGGAAGAAGGAGGTGCTGTAAAACTGACAGCCAGCCAACGATTCCCTCACTTGAGGATCCCAAACTGAGGTTGCTGAACACACAGAGCTGACAGTGGAAACAGAAATGTTCACAGTGGCCTAAGGGCTATTCAGCCAGCTCTTGAGTCTGCAATTCCACCCACAGTGCTTCCAACTGGAACATAACAACAAATGTTATATTGCCAGATGGAGAAAGTAGCAGAAAACTGAAAAAAAAAAAAAAAGAAGCCAAAACTTATTTAAAAACAGCACAAATTAGTGCTTATGAGCTTATGCTTAAGTTTCCTGTCAGAGCAAGGGCAGCTGATTTATCTCCTGTATCTGAGTGGTTCTTTTCAGCATAGTTACACACAGGCAAAACAAACAGTCTTATAAAGTGCAACAATTGTGCGTCGAATCAACAAGAAAATGCACCTTGAGTTTTGGGCAAACACAGAACACTCTTGTGGAAAAGCAAAGTAGCTCAACCAAGCACTTCGTAAATGTGATTACATGGAAACTATGTGCATCAAAGCAGTAAACCTTGTTCAAGGTTGTATAAAACAGAAAGAATACAATGGCAAATAAGATGTAGGAGGCATATATATCAAATGGTGGGAAGGTATTAATTGAGGCTGCTGATACAGACAGACTCTCCAGTACAGGAATCCAGACTGAAACCAAAGCAAAATGGCAATACCTCAGGCAGCAAATTCCAGTAGACTGCTGAGTAACAATTTAGGTAATGCCTTTTGATGATACATAGAAAAAAATAAGGAAATTTTAATTTATTAAATTGGCAGCACTGAAAATACTGGAAGGTAATACATAGAGGCTTAGGGAGATTCAAATGACTGTCCTCAAGTGAACTGGGGAGGAGAGAAGGGGGAATACACATGGAGTGCACAATAACAACAGGCAGAAGAGTGAAGCAGAAGCACATAATACAGAACACCCTAAACAACCTAAGGTTAAAGATCAGACCTTGTGGGATGTTTA